TGCTCCAAATGTCTACAAATCCAAAACTATAGTCACTATCTTTCTCCTAAAACTCCCTTATCCATTGGCTTTTCTGATTTCTGTGAATACTACTCCTATTCTCTGATTTGCCCATTCTCAAAACTTTTGGGACCCTATAGGTTTGTCATTCCTTTAGTGATTTCTTTGAGTCTAGAAATCATACTGGAGAAGGGGCCCAACTTCTTCATTAATACCAGCAACAGCTTTTGGTCAACTGCCACCAATAGATCAATAAGTGCAGGAGTCCTGGAGTAGCACCCCTGCTCCCAAGAATACCAGTCCTGGACCTGCCCTTACTCTGGGGAGTCTTCATTCATTGGTTGGTTGATATACTATCCAGGTTTCACATACATACAACAATGAAGTCAACACAACGTCTCTATAGACCTTCAGTTTGGCAGGCACTCTCAATAGCTCCTCTGTCCCACACTCTTCTTCAAAGCCTCTCAAACACAGCTAGCTAACTTGCATGAGTCAACCTCATCATCTATGTGTTCATCCCTGGAAAGTATACTGCCAAGGAAGGTGTACTTATTTACAGCACTAAAATTTCTCCTAGCCATCCCCACTGATTGCCAAACAACTGCTACTCTTTTGTCCAGCCCAGCTGAAGCAGCAGGATATCCTAAGTGTGAAATAGGAGGCAGCATGTGTCAGGTAAGTAAAACCAAAATCACCACCTTGATCATCATGTCCTCTTACACCTTGATAGAGATAATTCAGGAAACTGAAGCCAAGATCCTTGAGAATAGCCATATCCCCCAAACCATCAGACTTACTTCTGTGCAAACTCCACAGCTATTATTGGAGAGAAAAATAATTGTGGAGAAGGAACTTTCTGCATCACAATCAACAACAACTTCTGCCCAGAGGCCTGCAATAGGGATTTGGGTAAAAGTGCCTTGGAGTGACATCTCCCAGAATACTAGTCCTGCTTCCAGTCCAGTCTTTATAGCCACCTGAAGATGAGGATCCTGTGGACCCATTCCTTCTAACTGCTAGTCAACTGTTACTCATAGGGCTGGCCAGCTAGCCAAAGTAGCAAGGCATCTTGAGGAAGAGACAAGAGGTAGCTAGTATATACCAAGCAGACCTAATCAACACTATCTCCTCCACTTTGATCACTTTCTCCCTTCAGACTTTGATAGAGGCAGCCCAGGACCTGAACCCAAGAACCTTTGGAATACCAATGCTTCCAACTCATTTTCTGTAGCCATCATTCTGGGAGACAATCCAGATGCAACCTAGAACCTGCTCCTGCAGGTGCTACAGCTACAGCTATTAAAGACCCCAAACTGAAAACACTGTTAAATGGTTCAAATCAGAAACTGATATGATGTTATCAGTGAAAATGACAAGAAATTAGAGTCATTAGCATCTGCTTGACCACTGTATCCTAGAGATCACGGAACTTTTCCATCTGACCTATAGCTGAAACCTTCCACATGTGTTGTCTCCTCCATTAGAATGTGGGCTCAGTGAAAGCCCATAAAAGCATATTTTTTTCTATGTGCATGCCTAGCACTTAGTCAGCCCTTAATAAATGCTTTATTCATTCAATCATTCCTTTGACACTGTATATCTATTAAGTCTTCAAACCCTGTCAAATCAAATTCCATAATATGTCTCATATACATTCTTTTGTGCCCATTCCCACTGCATAGCCAGCTTCTAAGAAACGGCCACCATTATCCTTCACTGAGATTATTCTACTAGTTTTGTAATCAGTCTCCCTATCTTCATTCTCTCCTTCTATCCATTTATTTTCATCATTATCATATTCCTCTTCCAAAGGCTTGGATAAGCTCAATCACCTATTTTAGAAACCTTCAGCAGTGTCCTGATGTTTAGTGCAACATTCGGATACCATAGTGCTCTTACAACAAACTGCTTTCTTGTTTTAGCTTTTACTACTTCTACTCATATTCCTTACTTTTCTGTCAGGATTATTTGTGGTTCTCAACTATTCCTTGGGCTTCCCTCTCTGTGACTTTGTGCTGGCTTCTATCTCCTCCTAAAAAGCTCTTACTTCATTTCTACCTTACTAAGTCTCACTTCACATGTGAGCTTTGAAAGGATAAAGACCATATTATATTAATCTTTTTTATTACCCACAACACCTAGCAAAAATAATTGGCATTCTATAAATGTTGAATGAACAAAAGTTGAGTTTTAGATACAGTTACATCTACACTGTAAAAATTGAAAAAGCTATCAATCAGCTCTCTGGATATTTTGATCAATTTACATGTCCAAAGTAGTTCATTCAGACAAATGTAGTTCATCAGCTTGGTTAGATTCAAACTAAGCATTGTTCAAAATGTTGCCATTTGGGTGACTGAAAGAAATGAATCAACCATAGCAGTACCATACAAAATTTCGTCATACCTTCAAGTTTTTCTTAATCTAAGTTTAGAATAACTAATTTTCAAGACAACATATTTTTGAACTAATCTATTTAGAGAATCATGAAATCACAGAAATTAAGCAGAGGAAAGGACCTGAGCAACCGTTTGATACCCTATAAAGAATCCCCCCTCCAACAAGCGAGCATTGAAACTTAAAGACCTCTGGAGAGGGGATGCCGCTAACTCCTACAACTTCATTCATTGTTCATAGTTCTGTCCTCTGAGGCCTAACAGAATAAATGTAATCTGGATTCCACATGACCAGATTTCAATCAATTAATTAAGAAACATTTATTAGAGACTCTTTATGTGCCAGGGACTGTGCTTAGTATAAGCACTTAAAAAACATGCCTCCCTCCTACCACCTATCTCTAGGGTAATCATGGTACTTCAATACTTCCTCATATGGCATGAATTAGGGGCCCTGCACCACCCTGTTCACCTTCATTTTGATGCTTTCCAGCTTATCAACATTCTTCTTAACCCATGGTGCCCAGGATGGAACACAACATTCCAGATGGAGTCTGAATATGGCAGAATGTAGTCAATTGATCACTTCCTTAATCCTGGAATCAATTCTTTTGGTGAGAGGCATTGTAATGAAATGGATAGAGAGACTGAATGGCTGTTAATATGACCTGGGTTAAGTCCTGCCCCACCAAGACACATCCCGGCTTCATGACCCTGGACAAATCCATTAATCTGTTAGTGACCCAAACAATCTCTAAGATTGTAAATTGCAAAGAATTTGATTACTTTTACTCCTAGGATCCTCCATCAATGAAATTCTGCTTCTGGGCCCACTGCTGATCCCCAGAGGGAAAACCATGCCTCTCTTTCTGTCCCCCCCACTCCTCCCCCCACTGTGTGTGTGTGTGTGTGTGTGTGTGTGTGTGTATCTCCATAATTTGGTTTTCTGGACTGGGTGTATGAATTTACTGCTTTGGGGAACTCTTCCTAAGGAAAATCCCTCTACCAATGCAGGTTCACACCTTCTTTGCAATTTATAGTATTGCTTGGAGAACTGAGAGGTTAAGTAACTTGCTAAATCACACAGTCAGTAAAGGTGAGTGTAGGGACATTAAGCCTAGTCTTCCTTAACTCAGAAGCCAGGTATCTAATTCACGATGCTACTTGAGTAAAAATTGTTTTGTTCTTTGTACTTGTACCTGGCATATGGTAGACACAACAAATATTTGTTAATTTTATTGATTGATTGTCTGTTAAATTGTGTGTGTGTGTGTGTGCGTGTGTGTAGATATGTGTGGATGTATTTGTACAGACCTGTGATTTAATTGCTTTACCAAATACATAAAACTCTCTGCCAATGTAGCACAACTTCTTTGTAATTTCCAGTCCCACTTCTGACATGTACTGGCTATGTGACTGTGGATAAGTCACTTGATTTCTCAGCACCCCAGGCAGCCCTCTAAGACTGGAAATTACAAAGAAGTTGTGCTGCATTGGCAGAGAGTTTTATGTATTTGGTAAAGCAATTAAATCACAGGTCTGTACAAATACATCCACACACATCTACACACACACACACACACATAATTTAACAATCAATCAATAAAATTAACAAGTATTTATTATGTCTGCCATATGCCAGGTACAAGTACAAAGAACAAAACAATTTTTACTCAAGTAATTCTGTATTGGGTAAGAATATTCCCTACATGGAGGAAATCACACATCACATAAATACATACATGCATACACACATGCAATTCCCATGTGTGTATGTAGCACGAATGTGTAATATAAGTATGCAATGTATTGTGTATTGTGTATATGTATGCATGTATGTTAGTCTCAAGTTTTAATGCTTTATTATTTATTCTCCTACAGTACAAATTCTCTTTGTCAAAAGGGAGAAAGTATTGCTTCTTCCATCTATTATATAGAATGAAACTTTTATGTGGTACTGTATCATCAGTCTACTGAAAATATATTATACAAAGAAATTTTGTGTGTATATGTACATATTAGTGTGTGTGTGCATGCACATGTACGTACTAAAGTAATCATGAACCCAAAAGAACATTTCTGAGATATAAGATTGTTTATGAGCTACTTACACATTTTAGGTTGAAAAAGCATATGTGTTTCTGTTTTAAAAAAAGCAGATTTTGTAAAGGAAGCAGTACTTTTTAATGATTATATAATGTCCTCTTAAAATAAAAGCACTTAACAATGTCATAATTGCTTATCTGTCCCCTGAACTTTACAGGAACATAAAGCTGGAATAATCAATGTTCATTACTTGAACATTTAAGTAAGTAAATACACACACACACACACACACACACACACACACACACATATATATATGCATATGTATATACATTTATATATATGTATATGTTGTAATTAAATTCTCAGCTTCAACTGAATTGCCTTTGGAAACATATACTGGCTAAGGACACAGTACTGTATAAAAACTTCTGGTCTGCACATGGAAAACAAATTATTATTGTATTAAAAATTACATTTTCCAAAACATTTGTTTCTCATCTGGCATCAAATGAAGTTTAATTGCAAGTTGTTTTATGTCATTTTCTCTTGGGGATATGTTTTCCAAAAGATACACAGGAGGTTCATATGTACACACATCTCATTATTTCTCAGTAGGATTCATGTTTGTGCCACCTACTCGTGATTGGAAACACTCGAATGTCTCTGTGACAAAGCTTTGTGCTAGTCTTTTATAACAATACAGCTCTCATCTTGCTACATGTTTCTGTGGGCTTTTTCAAAAGGATGTTCCATATTGCCAAGAAAAAAAAAGAAAATAACTAAAAAGAAAAACAACCCAAAAATTGAAGTGACTTTTAACATTTTCTTTGACATATTTAAACAAAATATTCCCTTTCCTCCAGCAAACAGGCATAAAGTGATTGGGTTTGGGTTCGAATTACATTTGGCTAGCAGCTGTTTATAAAACTGAGCAGCAGACAGTACAGTAAAAACAGATTATATGTGGATACTATTTCTTTCCTGGACAGCCTTTCTTATAAATATTTGCTTTTACTATCAGTGTAAAAGAGGAGAACATATTCTCTTTCCATAGTTTGGAAATGGCTTTGGAGATGATATAAAATAATCATGTCTGGGAGTATTTATCCTTTGTTTAACAGCTCTTCACCCTAAAAACTGATCCCTTTTGACCTTATTTGTTATTGTCATGACAAATATCAGTGACTACAAGTGTATTTTGACTCTAAAGGAAACCTATGCTAACCCTTGGTTTAGATACCCAGAAGAAGAAGAGAAGTGAGCTCCGTGTCAGGCTTACTAAGGGAGTAATTCTCCTGCTTTGGCTTTGTTTGGCCGAGTCTTGAGCTAGAAGAAAAGCAAATGTCAGATGTCAGTATGACAGAATAAGTACAGTCTTTGGAAAGATTCTTATAAGAGTTTTCTAAAAAGATGGAGATATCCAATCAGTCAGATTTAGTCCTGAGATTTCCAAACAGAAAGCTAAAGATTTTGTAGCAGGTCCACTCTCTGCTTCACATTCCCTTCATAGGTTCAGAAGAGAAGCTGGATTTACTGAGCTTCTCCTGCTTAGTAATGTAGATCCTATGGTCTCAGGCCTATGAATTATTGCTGAGTATGTAATAGTTCTTCTGTTTGTCTCTTCACTTAATGCAGGAATAATATATTAGTCCGTTCTAATATACTGTATCATAGTTTGAATATGAAAGGTACCATATAAAAGCAAATCTTTCCTCATCTATTTCAACATTCCATTTTGCATGAAACCATCATAAACCACCCCCTCTGAAGGCTATTGCTTCTCAAGGTAATCGAGTAAACAGTGATTATATAGCAACAGGAAAATCTTTTATTTTTCCAAACTCTGACTTCATTTCTTAAGCCTTCTGGTGGCTGTATTATGTGAAATCCTTGATGCCCCCAAGAGGCCCTGCGCCAGTAGAAAGCAGTGATTATAAACTGATGCTATACAAATGCAACCAGAAAAGAGCAAAAAATCCCCTTTTTCTATCTAGGTATTTATCTGAGTTAGTTACCAAAGCTTGATTTTTTGAAGAAAAAAAAAAGAAGAGGCAAGTGTGTAATGTGAAACATGAAGTTCCTAATGCAATGGTTTAGTCAAGTAAAAGAATAGATTATACTTGGCCATTATTAAGGGAAAGGATCACAATCACTCAGGCTTAAGGCTGCCTTGTGTTTCCACATCAGGCTGTCAACCTTCCTTACTATTGTCACTAGCCTTATCAGCATGGTCCATACATTTCTATCTTATCTCTCTGTTCCCTCCCCCCCTGTCCCCATCCATTTGGAACAGTTACCTAGTAGCTCTGCTCCTGGTGAGGAATAAGTGGCTGCTTTCCTCCAGCTGGCTGGATAAGATCACAACAGAATAGCTGTCCTCTTGACTATCTCCCCTCTGAGCTGGCTCTTGGGAGCCACTCAATTCCCAATTCCCAGGTTATTGTAAATTCCTGGTGCTATCAAAAGTGCCAATCAAAGAAACATACAGAGAAACACTTGTTCAGAGAGAGAGAGAAAGAGAGACGATGAGATATAGTGGGAGAGGGAGAGGGAGAGAGAGAGAGAGAGAGAGAGAGAGAGAGAGAGAGAGAGAGAGAGAGAGAGAAAGAGAGAGAGAGAGAGAACTAACTTAAAATCTAAGCAAACTTAAACCTTTCTTCTTCAGAAAAATGGGATACTTCCCAGACAGTCTAGAAAAGAAGTAATTTAAGTAAGATTCAGAATCACTCAGTATTTTTTTTCAAACTCTAGACTTCAATCCTTTCCAATTTCAGATAATCTATTTTTTATCTGCTTTTTACATTCTTGTTCCTATACTTCCAGAAATTGAAATCCAAACTTTCTATTTCCCCTACCCTCTTTCTCTCTCTATTTTTTCAAAATGACTGCTGCCAGCCAAAGAATTTTATTTTTTTTCCAGTTTGAGCAAAGCTTTACTTTGTTCTTATTTTAAAATAAATAAATAAATAAACAAACAAATAAATAAATAAATAAAATAAAAGCAGTCTTAGTCTCAAGTTTGCATTCCATCTTCTTTGAAATGTTAAAACATCTGGATTTGGGGGGGGGGGAATCCACTTTAGCATGTTTAGAGAGAAAAGGCCAGCCCACAAAATAAATCAGGGTCAAGTGCTTGCAATTTCATGGACGATTATAAAGCAGCCCAATTTATTAGTTAACCTTGTATCAAGCTTATGTGTTGTCATAACCACTGCAGTTCATAAATTTTGGTTGGAACATGGATAAATTCTCAGGTTCAGCAAAACAAAGATTTATTCTTAGGGCAAAGCATGGCACGCCATGTGGTTCTACCTTACTTCTTGAAGTTTTCCATCTTTCAAGTGAAATTAAGTCTTTGTTTAGTTCATTTTTCCAATTAATTCATGAAATTTTACCAACAGTAACTTGGAAACAAAAAGACGCCCACAATAAATTATTGAAAGGAAAATGCTTGCTAGTTTAATTGGAGAGCAGATGGTTGTCTCAAAGGGTCTTCTTACAGTGTTTCAATAGCACAGCAAGGAAGAGGGAAGCAGGTTGCAGTGTCCCCTAATGCTAACAAAAACAACTTGAAAGAGGGTAAGCCCCAACGTGATGGCAAAGCCAACTACTTTGGGACTTAGATTGCTCCCCAATTCTGGCTACACCTTATTTATACATATTTAAATGAGTACATGTGGTCTTCTACTAAGGAACATAAGCTTTTTGAGGGCAGAGTCTGTTTCATTTATATATCTGTATCGCTGGCACTTAGGACAATGCCTGGCACATAGTAGGCACTTAATAAATGCTTCCTGATTGATCTGATGTCAAATCTTTTGACAAGAAAAAAATGCCTCAGATAGATCGCCTTTAAAGATGAAACCAAGAGATGTATGTCCATATTTACCCCTGAGTTAGAATAGAACTCTTTAGTAAAAATCTAAGATGTTGCCCACGAGCTGTAAGCAGCCTCTGAGGTCATCCAGTCTAACTCAACCCTTCTCTCCTTCCTCATTTTATGGGTCCTAACGTCCTGAGAAGTTACATAACCTATACAGACAATAAACATCAGTGATGGATTTGACCCTCTCCCAGAACCTCTCACTCCAGAAGGATTGCTTTTTACTTTATAACATCCTGTCTCCTTGCTGTCAATGTTGTTGTCCAATCATGTCCAACTTGTCATGACTCCTTTTGGGGTTTTCATGGCAAAGATACTGGAGTGGTTTATCATTTCCTTCTCCAGTTTATTTTACAGATAAGGAAACTGAGGCAAATAAAGTTAAGTGATTTGTCCAGTGTCACACAGATAGTAAGTGCCAGATTTGAACTCAGGAAGATGGGTCTCTGACTTCAGAGACAGCACTCTGTCCACTGTCCTACCTAGCTGCTCAATTTCTGTCAATGCTATTCCATACATTTTTCAGGCATATTATATCCAATTCATCAGAGGCCTTCTAGTTCTTTCCCAGGGACATACAACAAATACAGGCTTAAAAAACAACAACAAATTCTTAGCTTAAAAGTATTTATTACCTAATTCATTTATTTTTTTACATTTGAAATTGACTTTGGACTAGGTTTTAGAATTTTTTGAAAAGGAATTGGTGGAGTTACTTTGTTAAATTGGTGTATTCTTTAATGTGGGGACTACTTTTACCAGTTTAGGCTAGAAAATTTTCACATCTCATTGTGGATTCTTGTCTATTTTACACAAATCATCCACCCAACTTTTAATATCACTGGAGTGCCATTTAGTAGTTATGATTCATTGCTATTTGTTATTTAATTAGTTATCATTACTTTATTATTTTTGGCTTATTAGTTATTAACCACTTATTGATCATCTACTCTGTGTAATGCCAAGATTTTTTTTTTTTAAATTTTACTGAACCTGGAATTTTATTGGTTTAGGGAATTACTAGAGAGGAAATGTGCCCACTCTTCCATGTAGATTAGCAACTCCTCTATGATTTATATTCTTAGAGAGTCTCCTTTGACAATGTAAAGTTAAATGACTCGTCCAGGGTTATATAGCCACTCTTCCATGTAGATTAGCAACCCCTCTGTGATCCACATTCTTAGAGAGTCACCTGGGATGATGTAAGATTAACTCATATAGCCAGTATATGTAAAAGTTAAGATGTGAACCAGGGTCTTCTGTCTCTGAGGCCAGCTCTTGCTATCTTTCTGTAAGTAAAAAAAAAAAAAGAAAGAAAGAAAGAAAAGAAAAGAAGGTTGAAGTTTCTGTCTTAAGGGAGCTTATAATCTCTCATCAGAGTTTAAAGTCTTACCTTTTTTTTTTAGTTTTTAATTTATGTAGTTCAAGTTAACTTTTAATTCCTTATGAACCATACAACATACATAGATAATTAATGCTAACATCTGAACTATTTTGCCAAAAAAAGTGCTCTAGTCTTTGAAAACTGGAAATGACCATTTCTCATCTATGCTCAATATTAGTGTTTCTTTTTCATCTCAATTTTCACCAGATCATCTAAACTTATTGTTTTCTAAACACAATTTTAGTGATAACTTGTTTTTATATCACCTACATTTTCTAATATATTCTACCTTTTCCCCTTCTCAGAGATTCATCACAATAATGAAGAATTAAAGAGGAAAAAAGCAATATTTTAGCAAAACAGACCAAAACTTTGAAACAGTTTTCTTTATATAAACTTTATATACCTATAGTCTCCCTTCCACACCAGGAGAAAAGGAAACATTTTCTCTTATGTCTTCTGTGGAGCCTGTCTTGGCCACAACACCTAATTTTAATGATTTTCTTGTTTCCATTTACATTATTGTACTCGTACATATTGTTTTCTTAGTTCAGCTTACTTTAATTTGCATCAGTTTATATAAACCTGTTTTAAACATATTCATTGCTTTTTACATCGCAGTAATATTCAATTACATTTGTATACCACAACTTGTTCAACCATCTACCAAGCAATGATCATCATTTTTGGTTTTCAGTTCTTGGTTATCACAGAAAGTGCTGCTATATATCTTCTTCTTCTTCTTCTTTTTAATCATGGACCTCCTTAGGGTATATGCTTAGCAGTTAGATATCTGGGTCAAAAGATGTGGACATTTTAGTTACTTTCCTAACATAATTCCAAATTGCTTTACAGAATGTTTGGTTCATTTCATAATTTCACTAACAATGCACGGTGTTCCCGTCTTTCACACCTCCAACATTTATTATTCCCATCTTTTGTCATATTTGACAGTTTTCTGGGTATGAAGTAAAAACTCAGAGTTTTGATTTATATTTCTCATATTCTTAGTGATATTTGACATTCTTTTATGTTTTTTATAATTTTCAATTATTTTGACCATTTATTTATTGCTGTTTAGATCTTATATATTTCTGTTGCCAATATCTTGAATATCAAACCTTCATCAGAAGTATCTGATACAAAGATTTTTCCCCAGCCAACTGCTTACTTTTTTTGTCCTAATTACATTAATACCATTCATCCAACAAACATAATTTTATGTAATTAAAATGATCTATTACACCTTCTGTGATCAGCTCTGTTTATCCCTCGTTTGCTAAAGAATTTACCCATTTGCTATAGCTCTGAGAGGTACCTGATCTGCTTCTATCCTAATTTTTTGTGGTATGAATTTTAATATTGAAGTCATGAATCCATTTTAAGTTCATCATGGTATATGGAATAGGATATTGGTATAGAGCAAACACCTGCCAGACTGCTTTCCAGTTTCTCAAGCAATTCTTGTCAAGAAGGGAGTTTATTTCAGGTAATTTATTTGGGGGGGCTTGTTATTAAATTATTGATTATTAAAATTATTGAGTTTAATTATTTCTGATTCTTATGTAGTCTTTTCCACCAAGGTGCTTCTCTATTTTTAAACCAATACCATGTAGTTTTGATGCTTATTATTTACAAATCTAGTTTAAACTATGGAAGTGGTATTCCCCTTCTTCCCTACTTTGTTCATATTTTCCTTGATATTCTAGATCTTTTGTACCCTCTAAATACATTTTATTATTTGATATGGTACTGTGAAGCTTCTTCCTTATGATTTGATTACTATGACACCCAATATGCAAATTAATTTAGGTATTATTGCCATTTTTACCATATTAGCATGGCCCTGATATAAGAATGGAATATCCTTGCCAGATTTATCTTAAATAACAGTGTCTCTCTTATCTTTTTCAGGTAACTAAATAGGTCAGAGTTTGTATAGCTGGGCAACTAGATTTATCCATTTGCCTCTCTATAGATAAAATAGAATAAATCTTAATTTAGACAAATCTTCCCTCTTTTAAATAACTCTAGGTTAAATGCCAACTGAAGCAAATATGATTCCTTTTGTATCTAGAATATAACTTAGGTTGTAGTAATGCCATGCTGAATATTTGGGATGAAAATTGGAACATTTAATTAAAAATCCATGGCTGTTTTTTATACAGATACCAATACCAAACTTCCTGATGGTACTATTATCCCACCTCAGATATTTAGAACATAGAGAACAGGAAGGTCAGGTGCCACTTCTCATTGATATATCTCCATCAAACATAGTGCCTTCTTTATATAAGAGATAACTTTCAAGTTACTCTCTACATACTTCATATGTGCAGAGTTGTTAGCATGTTGTCTCCTCCATTAGCTTATGAATTCCTTAAGGGCAAGGATTTATTCATTCATTCATTTAGCCATTCATTCATTCATTCATTCATTCATTCATTCATTCATTCATTCATTCATTTGTCATTCTTTCTTTGGCTCTCCAGTGCAAGCTAAACCAGGTTGGGGCTAACCTATAGGCCTCAAACCTATCAGTAAGTTTGGAAATGTCTATCTCAAACATGTAAAGATTTCTCCCAGGAAAATGCCCAGATGAGAACAATTTGGCCTAATAGCTATGAAGGAGGCTGAAGCAGGTGCTGTGGAGAATTCAGAGGTTCGTCTGACATAGAAGAGGCCAAGGTCATTCACTGTATCTTGGGCTATCACCAGTCATCTTGACTTTTGTCTTGCTACTAGACTTTGATGACTCTAGAAGAGAGAGAGAGAGAGAGAGAGAGAGAGAGAGAGAGAGAGAGAGAGAGAGAGAGAGAGAGAGAGAGAGAGAGAGAGAGAGGCTGATGACTTTGTGCATCTCCACCTCACTTAAATCCAATTCATACAAAAGTCAAGACGTCACCCCATGATGTCATTGGTCCACTTCAAAAATGAAGGATGAACAACAACAGCTTAGCACAGTGCCTATAACTTATAAATGAATGAATGAATGAATAAACAAATGCTTGACAAAAGCCTGAATGCAAGAAGGTACTATGAGGAAGGTGAAAAGCAGATATATTATTATGAAGTAGAGAAAATCTTGGATTTTCTGAAACGTTTCCAAGGTCGGAATAATTAAAATTCTCAAGTTTGATGCCAAATTATTTGCTGTTGTTCAGTCTTCTCAGCTGTGTCTGACTTTGCATGATCCCACTTGAGGTTTTCTTGGCAAAGATACTGGAGTGGTTTGCCATGTCCTTCTCCACCTCATTTTATACAGGTAACTGAGGCAAACAAGGTTAAGTGATTTGACGAAAGTCGCACAGCTAGTAAGTGTCTGAGGCCAGATTTGAACTCAGGTCTTCCTGACTCCAGGCCCAGTACTCTATCCACTGCACCATCTAGCTTCCCTGATCCCAAATTATACACTCTCCCACTGGGACAAATTCACTCTCTGTCAAATAGGAAGGTACTTGTTTCTTTCCTTAGATATACTAATAGAAATGAGACTTTGTGGTAAGACAAGCAGGAATACTTTAAAACCAGAGGTAATTTTTCTTCAGTGATCATATAAACTGTATTCATCACCATATAACTTGAATAACCTGTTTTAAGTAGGAGAGATCTGCTTGTACCTCTTAGACCTTTCAGAAAACTATGATCATCCTTTAATTCATGTGCCCATAAAATTTGTTATGAGCAGGCAATTCAGATCTATTCCATAGATTTGTACAAACAAACAATACCCTCACTACTGTCCTTTTTGCTGTTTTCTTCTTTCTTTTTCAGTTAATCATAAGGTGGTGCAAAAATTCTCCAATACCTATCATAGTTGAAATGTATTCTATCAACAAATTCTTTTAAGTTAGTTTTTTTCTTTTCCTTTCCTGCTTTCTGACGACACTTCTCTCTAGACACCCTTTATATAAATACTTAAAATTACTGTATTTTTCCCACTCCAAACATCTTGATCATATCTCTTCCTTGCACCTTTCAATCTCTGCTTCCCAGGAAAACATATGCTTCAAGTTGCTTGATCCTTCAAATAGTCCATATGACCCTCATCTCTTCTAGAAAGTTTTCTAGTGTGAATGTTAGTGATTGCTGGGATCACATGACAATTCCTGCTGAGAGCTTCACACGTGCAAATTACCATTTGACCTCCATAGTGACACATTTGTCACAGCAATTTTCACTTGTGGCGAAATGAGTTAAATTGCCTCAGAAGAAGTGATTTTAAGTGCAATTTTTCATGCAAAACTTCCCCAAAGCTCTGCTACTATGTGTCTTACAGATTGGTACCTGGGCTTCAGCAATTTCTTTTTATGTTTTTTTTTTTATAAGAAGCACAATATTTCCGTAACTCACATTTGGAATGGTTCCTGGTTTGGGGAAGCAAATTATTAAAACCAAGCATATGGAGGTCTTAAAGTGGAACCTTATGGGAGAGAAAGAAAAAACATGGATCATGAAGACTATTTGGTAACATTAAAAAATTAAATGCTTGCACAATCTTAGGGAATGAAGGTTTCTTCTTTGGAACATTTTTCTACCCCACATTTGAGAATTTGCTGTGTTGGGTAAGCTGATAAGTGCATTAAAAACTGTTACTGTTGATTCTTATGCGATGATTTTATTCTATTGTCTTCATCTGCCTCTTGTAATTGTATTGTTCAGTAGGAGGGAATGAGGTTGTTAAGGAGAATTTTTAAAGGATGCTGAGTTCGCAATGATTGACTGTTCAAATGAAAGGTTATTAGAGAAAGATGGCAGGTTAGGCCTAACTGAAAAAGAGTGTCATAAGAGGAGGAGCTGGTGGGGGAAAATGCATTGTCTGGAAGTCAGAAGGTGTTGCACTGCCCTTGGGTCTGCTCTTGACTCAAGGATGACCTCTTTTCAAGCTCTGTGTGGCAAAGGGAA